AGCGCGCTACCGCCTGAGCCACATCCCCAGCCCTATAAGTTCACTCTTAACCTGCTGAGTCCAGGAGGGAGCAGGGATTGGTGGGCCAGCAATTCCCCCGGGCTCCTTGGCCTCTCGCTGGAAGCTGCATCTCAGAATGGTGGTCACAGATACTACCAGGGCACTCCAGCAACTGCTCAGAAAGGTGGGAGCCAAGGACCCCCATTCTGTTTCCCGTTCCCCTGTTATTCCCAAGGACAAGGACTGGGGAGATTACGGTGCTTACAGCGGGAGACCGCTGCACTTGGCAAGACTGGCATGCCTTCCCAGGCAGGAGAGAGCACTGTCACAGCCGCACTCCCTCCACCGCTCAGAGAAGACCTGTCACCAGTTCACATTTCTGCCTTCCTCCTCCCTTGGCAGCAGCAGACTGTCTGCAGCCTGTTTGTCTACAGAAGACTCCGGCTGCCTCACCCTGTGGGAAACCTGAAGACGTGCCCCCTATTTTTATGTACCGGGTGCCTGCTCAAGCTGGTATGGAGTAGGGTGCCCCCTCACACACTGACACAGGCCCAGCACGTGCCCAGATGTGCAAACGCCAGCCTCACCCATTCCCTGGCCCTAATAAATGCTAAAATCTGGAAGAAGGGCTGAACCCAGCCAACCTCCCCACCACCAACTTTGGTCCCTTGGCACCAACTTTCCAGATGCCTAGGAGAGAGATCTCTCCTCCTCCAAGCAGAAGCACCAGCACCAAGAGGTGAAGATGAGCAGAGGCGTTTCCCAGAGCTTCGGAGACAGCGCTCCTCCCGTTCCCGTGGCCAGGCTGGCTACACCAGAGCTGCTGCCTTCAACAGCATTATTATCACCAGCATCTCAGTCACAGAGAACCCGCTGTTATCAGGAACCATGAGCTAGTTTAGAAGAGACAGCAAACGGGAGCTTTCTTATAAGGAAACTCACTTATTTAAAATCAACATGACCAGGCAGGTGTGGTGGTCCATGCCTGTAATCCCAATGACCTGGGAGGCCGAGGCAGGAGGTTCTAAATTTGAGGCCAGACTCAGCAACTTAGCAAGGCCCTGACTCAGAAAGGACTGGGGATGTGACTCCATATTAAGTGCCCCTGGTTTAATCCCCAATACACAAAAAAAAAAAAAGACATTAAAATGTGTGTATATTTCCAATGTACGTTTGTCAGAAACGGCGTAATTCAGTGAGGGTGAGTGTGCTATCTTACCCAGTGAGCGTGCATCCGGAAGCTCATGGGAAGGATGACATGAATGTGCTGTTCACTGGAGTCACTTTTGCCATAAGAATCCCACCACTCTCAGTGTGACCCTCATCTTTAAAGAAGGGCTTTCATCACCTGGCCCTGACCCCTGGACCCAGCTGCAGCTCAGCAGATCCCTCCCAGCACTAGGGCCCCAGCTCTGCTGTGTTTGTCCCAGGCAGCTGTCAGATGGAGGCCGCACCTGGAAGGGGTTCTCCAGGGTGGTTTTTATTCTATTGCTTAGGGACAGACCCACCATCTCAGCCCCAGACGGTGGGCTTTTCAGTGCATCATTGAATTTCAGAAAGAAAACTCCTGAGGAAGGCCCTTGAGGGGAGGGATTGGGCATGACGCCCCGTTCCCAGGTCCCAGAAAGACGAGAACACATGTGAGAGCTGGCCCCACCGTGGTCCCCACCCCCCAGTGTCCACACTCCCCACCAAGACAGACTGCCCTGTGTGACTAGTAGAAATCAGCAGAAGCAGCGGATGTCACTTCCCAGATCAGGCTGTGACAGGCTGTGGCTCTGCTCTGAGGGGGCTCATGTGTTCCATCTCCCTCCCTCCCTCCCCAATCCCTCCCCCATCCCCACCCCTCCTTCCCCACTCTGTTCCTTCCTCTCCCCCCTCCTTCTCCCTCCTGCACCTGCACACACCACTGGCTTTGGGGGCGCCAGCTCTCCTGTTGAGGAACCTGTGTAGCCAGGAGCTAGATCCTGCCATTAGATGACCAGGTGAGCGGCTTGGAGGCCACTGTCCCAGCACAGTCACACCCAAGATGGCTGCAGCCCCACCCACCATCTTGAAGGCAGGCAGACCTTGCTGGCTCCTGAGAGGCCAAATGCTTACAACCTCTGGATAGCCAATGCCAGGGGGTGGTGGCCTTGGACACGGGGGTCCTCTGTGCTCCCTTGTCTTCTACCTTCACTCCCCTTCTGCCCTCTATCCTCTCACACCTTGTCACCTACATTGTTGTCCTTCTGTTCTACCTTAGACTACTGGAAAGCGAGGCCAGCCTGAGCTGGCTGGAGCAGCAGGACCCTCCCCAGGAGGTGGCCTTGGACCTGAGCCTGAGCTACATCTACAAGGTGAGTCAGGCCTCACCCTGCCTGGCCGGAGCTCAGGCACCCTGAGACCTACTCAGCAGTCTAGCTCTGGAGCGTCCTTGCCCCTCGTGTGCTGGCTCAGCACTGCGGCAGGTGCCCTGCAGCTGCTGGCACCGTATGGAGACTGCCCTCCCTGGGCCTGCGCTGCCCCAGGGCCCCAGACCTCATCCAGGCCTCATGCTCATTCTCTCCCGCTCTCAGCATGGCCAGAGGGGCTCATGGCGCGAGTCCCTCCTGACCATCTGTCAGGGAACCAGACGCCACAGGCCCTTCTTCCCACATCACATGGCCCCTCCGACCCCTTTCCTTCCAGTTCCTGACGCTGTGTGCCCTAGCCCAGCCGGGGGCCTACACAGACGCACACCTCCTGGGCCTGATAGAGCTGCTCTGTCGCGCCAGCCTGGACGTGGGGCTCCGCCTGATGCCCAAGACCGACCTCCAGCAGCTCCTGCTCCTGCTCCTGGAGAACATCCGCGAATGGCCGGGGAAGGTACCCCCAGCGCTGCCTCTGACCCCTAGGGCTCTGTCCCTGGGAACAAGGGTGTCCCCAGAGCACCCTGGATGGGGATGTGTCCCCAGAGCACCCTGGATGGGGACGTCCTGGCCTCCACCTTGCCCTCGTCCCCAGGCAGGCTGGGTGGCAGGTCAGAATGCAAAGAAGCCCACCAGGTGTCTCCTGTCCCCACAGCTCCAGCCGCTGTGCTGTGCCCTCAGCTGGGTGTCCGACCACCACCACAACCTGCTGGCTCTCGTGCAGTTCTTCCTGGACGTGACCTCCCGGGGCAGGTAGGTGCTTCTCCCCCCAGTGCTCACTCCTGGAGTCCTGCGGGCACCCCATCTTCCCGCAGCTCCAGGAAGCCTCCTGTCCAATTCCTGAACCCAGCCCCTGCCCCAGGAAGAGAACGAAAAGTGCAACTCACTAATGAGTTCTTTACAACTGGAAGGAAGAAAGAGCCTTTTTTTTCTTTTTCCTTTTTAAAACTATTTCTTAGTCGTAGTTGGACACGATACCTTTATTTTATTTATTTATTTTTATGTGCTGCTGAGGATCAAACCCAGGGCCTCATACTGCTAGGTGAGCACTCTACCGCTGAGCCACAACCCCAGCCCCCTGATTTTCTTAACATGTTTTTCTTTATTTTATTTGATCCCAAGCCCTGAATCAAACCCAGGATTGTGTAACCTCTGAGCCACATCCTAGCCTGTTTCTTTTTTTTTTTTTTAGACAGGATCTCGCTAAGTTGCTGAGGCTGTGGAGCCAGATTTAAAATTAGGTAGTCAGTGTAGTTAGGTAAATCGGGTCTAATATGGAATGAAATCTAAAATGGAGGCCATGAGAATGAATCCCCTGAAAAGTTGAGCAACTCTTGAAATGTTAATGAAGTCCAGGAAACAGCCCCCAACAGATTTGAAGACAGCCCATCCCAAAAAAGTGTTAATGAACAGCAAACTTGAAGATGCTGAAGTGTTAATGAACAGCAAACTTGAAGTGCCCAGATTACTTCTTTGGCCCACCTGTGTCCCTCCCCTCGGGCCTTCCCACCTATATTCCATCACCGAAAACTATAAAAAGGGAAACAACCACACTTCCACGGATTCCACCTCTTGGGTCCCCTTCTTCCTCTGGGAGAAGTCTTTTCTGCTGTCCTTTAATAAACTTCTATTTTCTACTCTAAACCGAAGCAAGGATTCGTCACCGACCAGTAACAGCTGGCTTTGAACTCTCACTCCTCCTGCCTCAGGCTCCCAAGTCTCTGGGATCAACAGGCAAGTGTCACTGCACCCAGCTCAATATGGTCTTATTAGCAAAATGCGGCCTTGTATGCTTAGCTTCTGCCGTCTTTCCACTGGGACTTCCTCCCCAAACTTTGGTGACAGTTTCCTTCTCTTCATTCAGACCTCAGCTGGTCACCCCATCCTGCTGCCTCCCTAACTCTTAGTTCATCTTTCTGTTTTATTTTCTGTTCGGCATTTATCTTTGCCATCAGTTATCTTAATAGAATCGAGGAAAGTCACTTCACAAATTCTTTTTTTCTTCCTCTGGAGGTACTGGACGGGACCCTGGGACTCTGCCACGGAGCTAGCTACAGCTCCAGCCTTTGCTTTTCCCATCTTCCAGGCTTGCTGCTGGCACCCTATTTTATAAACTGTTTTCAGATGATAAACGAAGTGAACAGAGAAACTAAGCCCAGGAGATACGGCCCACTAGCTGGGGCTGGGGATGTGGCTTAGTTGATAGAGAGTTGGCCTCACATGGACAGGCCCTGGGTTCAGTCCCCAGAACTGCAAAAAAGAGAGAGAGAAGGAAAAGACCCATTGGCTGGACTTGGCCTTGTCTGGCCCTGTCTCTCTACCTTCCTTCTCTGCTTTGGGCCACAGTGACAGGGAGTGTCCTGCCCTGCCCTGACCAGACCACTCCCCATCACCTCTCTAGTCCTACCCATGCTCAGAGATGCCCCTGTCCACTCCAGCCTTCTGCAGGCACCTCCAGGGTCAAGCAGGCTTGGAGTTTGCTGCCTCCTCGTACCTCAGGGCCCAGCCAGGCATATGCTGTGTTCACAGACCCCCCCATCAGGGGTCCTGCTGGGCTGGACTTCAGACTCCTCGCTCCGAAGCTGGTTGAAGGAGAGGAGGCCTCTCCACAGTCTTGAGAGGGGAGTTGTGTTCTGTATTTGGAACACTCGGGCTTCTGAAAACTGCCAAGGCCCTCTAGGGGCCTCAGTGGGCAAGGTCTCTGCTCAGCCCAGATCCTGGGATTTCTGTTTGATCTGAGGAGCCGGAGACCAACCTGCCTGCTTCCAGCCTCCCGGCCTCCTCCCCTCCCCACAGCTCACTTGTGCTGTTGCCCGGGTTGGAACCTGTAGTCCTAGAGGTTCTCCCACCCCCATCACCCCTTTACCCCCAAATCCTGTGCTTTCTGCCTTTTGAATCATAAATCCTATGTCCTTATTTTTGGTGGCCTCTCCACGTCGACTCTTTGATGGCTGGTACCTTGTCTGGGTCACTCTAAATCAGCTACTTCCTTCCTGCCCTTTCCTGCTTTCACTTCCCTGTCTTCATCTGGAAGGGAGCAGAGGCTTCCTGTCCCTTCCTCCTCTCACAATCTATCTGCAGAGACCTGTTGGTACTTGTGATTATCAACTCTCTGCCTTGCCTCACTCCCTCTGGTCTGCATGACCAAGTCCAGGTGCCTGACACTGGTCTCCAAGGCCCATGTGGTCCCACCCAATTTCCCATTTGCTTTGACAGGACCACATTGTTAATGGTTGGTTTTCTTGTGTGTGTATGCATGTGTGTGTGTGTGTGTGTGTGTGTGTGTGTGTGTGTGTGTTTTGAACTTCCTTCTTTTTCAGAGCTGCATAGTATTCCCTGATGTATGTGAAACTAAGGTAAAATAGAAGAGATAATAAGTTGGTAGAAAGGAGGCATGAAGGAAATACAAGGGAAAAAAATTCCGCAGTACTAGGGATTGAATCCAGGGGTGCTCTACTACTGAGCCACATCCCATCCTTTTTATTTTGAGACACAGTCTTACTAAGTGGCTGAGACTAGCCTCAAACTTGTGATTCTCTTGCCTCTGCCTTCAGAGTAGCTGAGATTACAGGTGTGTGCTTAAGTGGATTAAGTGCCCCTGGGTTCAATTCCTGGTACCAAGGGGGGAAAAAAAGTTGTGCCTACTTTCTAGGCCTATCACTCCCAGAATCCTGGAAAGGCTGTGAGTCTACCTATGTACTACTGATTAATGCCCCTGTAAGTAGTGAATAAAGAGAAATATGGTATTTTAAGAAACCTGTAATTTAGGGGACTTTCCAGCCCTATCTACCAATCAGGTAATGAAGGCTCTGAGGCCTCAGGACCTGGAGACTGACCACACCACCATAAACTGTCTTGACGTCACCAGACTGACATCAGCCTGCCCACCTTCCAGACCTCCCCTCTCCACGTCTCCTTTAAGGAGAGTTGGCGGCGTGATGCCACCTGAGCTTCAGAATACAGTGTCCCTGTGTGAAGGGGGCTCAGGACCCACTCTGCCTCCCCCGGGGAGGGCTCTTGGGTGTAACGTGGACTCGGGGCATTCCTACCCAATCTTGGTCCTGCTCGCAGGGCATCCTAGCTGAGGAGAAACTTCCAAGCCCCCTCCCGGCGCGGCTCCCCCTGCTTCTCCTTAGCCCCTGGTTTCTGTTCCTCCTGTCTGGTGTTCTTGGCCAGAACTCGCCCCCTTCCGTAGACTCAGGGCTGCATCCGCCAGGTCTGCCCCGTCAAGGCCTGCAATAAAGGGACCTTGGGGAGCCGATAAAGAGCAGAACTGGGAGCCCACAGGCATCTCCAGGCGGCCTGCGTGGGGCGGGGCGATAGCTCAGGGGTGGAGGACTTGCCTAGCAGGATCCCGGCACCAAAGACCAGACAGAGGGTTGTCACGTTGCCCTTGAATCTGCAGTCCTCCTTTACTCCCCAGAGACGTCTCGCTCAAGGTGGCCGCGTGCCCCTTCCCCTGGACATGTGGATACTCCTTGTCCTTGCCCCCAGAGGCAGCTCTGGAGATGGCCGCATCCTCCTTTCAGAGTGTGTCTCCTTTCTGGGTGACCCTCTGTCTGGCCTCCAGCCTGCGCCGAATGCTCTTCACTTGTCAGCCAGACACCACGGGTCCTGTCTCAGATCCCCCTTTTCTGCAGAAGCTCCTCGGAACCATCTTCTCCCATGACTGTCCTTGTGCAGGAGGTTGGGGCAGACATCTTCACAAGATACCTCCTTGACGGGACACTGCAGTCCTGTCCTGTGCACATTTAACGCCTGGCCTCCAGGGAGAGCTGGGCCGGCTGGTACTACCGGCCAGGTTGACCACCACAGTGCCCGTGGCCCCCGTTCTCCCTCATGCTGAGCGTCCTCAGTGTTAGTCACCCACGGTGGTCACAGAACACGGCCTGTGGTTCTGGTTGTGCTGATGGCAGTGAAATGGATTCTCTTCTTGTTTATTGGTGGCATTTTTCAATGAACCAGGATTTTTTTTTCCTCAAAATTTTTTTTCTTTCAGTGCTGGGAATTGAACTCAGGCTTGGTGCATGCTAAAGCACACCTTCTAGAACAGATCTGTCTTTTCAGGAAAATGGCATGAATGAATTACAGAGGTGACTGGGCGTTTTGTGCAATTGAACGCTTGCCATGAATAGGAAGGCCTTTCCCTCCCTGAGACCACAAAAAAGTCTTATTTTTTTCTTTTAGTACCTACTGACAGGAGTTTGTTCCTATCTTACTCCCAGGTGGAGTCAGTTTTTCCTCATTGTGAGACAAGGACCTAATTTTTGAGTTTTTTCTTCCACTCCCGAAGTAGACACAAGTGTGTGTGTGTGTGTATGTGTGTGTGTGTGTTAATAATCTGTAGTTTCCCAAGATATTCAAAGTTTGCTTTGTCGTATCCCAGATTTATGAGTTTCTAGCCACATTAATCTGTGACCTGGAGAACCAATGTCTTGAAGGGTCTCTTTGTAGCTCCTGGTCCCTTAAAGGCCAGGGAGTGAAGGCAGGAAGGGGTGACCTTTACCTTCAGACAGACAGGTCAGCAGGGTAATGCCCTGAGCCACGGTCTTCACTAGAAAAGAGGGTTCCTCATCTGGATGAAGTGGCTTATGTAGAAATGTTATTTCTTTTCCAATAGATAAAGCATTCAAATGCAGGAGTAGCTAGATGCTGAAAACGTGCCCCGCACTGCGCCACCATGTTGCTGTGCCTGTGCCCTGCGCTTGCGGCTCCTTCCTGTGAATTCTTTCCTCTCCAAGGTGTCTTGGCCG